ATTTATTTATTTATGCACAAAGAACAGGGGTAAGGTCAGAGGTGCAGGGGGTTGAGAGGATTCACCAGAGACAGAGTGAGGAGCAGAACAGCGGGCTGGTCAGGAGAGGTCTGCCGTGCCATGTGGATCATCTCTGGGTCAGGGATTGATCTCATGCTGCAGTGGATGTAGCTTCTTAGTGCTGTGCTCTAACCGGCCACCAGGGAGGGCCCAATTTTACTTCTTTATGCTTGCAAGCGTTGGTGTGGAGGCCAGAGGTGAGGCCAGTGGCTGGGAGGCGCACCAAGGATGTATCCTTCTTACGCTCCTTCAAAAGCAAGTCTCGCTGTGTCTCCATTTGGCAATCAGGGCATTTGACGCATAGACTCAAACAGCTGGGTGAAGAGAGGGTCAAGGACTCAGCAAGGGTGCTCAGATCTTGTTTTGTGCTGGTACCAGGGGCTGGGCATTCTGAATTTCTAAATGTTCCCTTGAAAACATGAGCAATGCAGTCCAAAGGCTTGACACTTCCTGTGTTGACACCGGCCTTAGTTCTGTTCCAGTTCTGCCTTCTGAGGACCCCAGGATGGCAGGTGATTTGTCTGAGCTCACGAAGGCAAGCTGGCAGGAATGTAGCCAGCAAAGGGGCCCCCCAAGAAAGACTGGCAGGCCACAGGCATGGACCTGGTGCAGGTTTGCATGCAGGGCTGGGACATGAGGTTTCCATGCCAGTGACATCTTCCTCTTCCTCCTGAAGACGCTGTCTCCCGAGTGCTGGCTGGGGAGGACAGAGCTCAGGGCTTTTTCTGTTGACCTGAGAGAGCTGGCATTTACCACCAGGTTTGTTCTCCTTCCCCTGGGGCATTTTGAGACCTGGAACTACTAGAGATTGCTGATTAAGATAAAATAGAAAGGTGAGCAGCTTCTGCGTGGGCAGGGTATAGGCCCTGGGAGAGGGCAGTACAGGCCTTGGAAATCTTAGGGTGCAACTGACTCTTTCCCAGGCTCTCTGGGTCACCCATGTGACCATTTCCATCCAAGAAGCTGGCCTGGCCAGTTTGGCATTTGTAGCAATGTGGGAGCAGAGTCAACGGGTGCCCTGAACCACAGCCCCCCTCCCCAGGCTGTTTCGACCCCAACGCTGTTTCAAGTGCTAATGCTGGACATTTCAACCTAGTTCTTAAGCAAACAGCACTAGACTAATAGAAAAACTTTGTTTTCCTTCCAGAGCCTCTGAGGGCAAGACCGTGGAAGTGCCTTACAAAGGGGATGTGGAAAACACGATTCTGGATATTCTTGGGGGACTCAGATCTACCTGTACCTATGTGGGGGCCGCCAAACTCAAGGAGCTGAGCAGGAGGGCAACGTTCATCCGGGTCACCCAGCAGCACAACACGGTGTTCAGCTAACCTCCAGGAGGAGCTCCCCGCCAGGCACACTTGCTCTCCTTTCTTCCTCCTCCTGTTACATCAGAGCTTCCGGCTGCTCCCCAATGGCGGAATGTCTCCCCTTCCTGCCACCTGGAGGCGTCAGGGCTCCCCTAGTGCCTTCTGGGGGCTCAGAAGCAGGGCACTGCTTGGGCCAGTGGTCAAAGCCCAGCTGCCTGTGCAACTCATAACCTCATTGTTAAAACTAACACACACTTTTTTTTTTTTTAAATGGTTTCACTTTAATATAATATAATGCTCTTATCTTACGACTTGCTAGAGTGCTGGCTTTTGCATTTGCAGGTAAGCTTAGGGGCCAGGGACAGAGTGTCCTACCTCCTTCCCAGATGGGCTTTTGGTTCCTGGGGAGGGCTGGGGGATGGGAGGCAGTTCAGGGCCAAGGGGGTTACTGCCATCCAGCCTCTCCCTCCAGCTTTTAATTACTGGAAAACAGCACACCTCTTGACTGGGAAGACTGAAAGTTTCCCATTGAAGTCCTTATAGAAGTTTGGGAGTTTTAAAGAGGTGATTGCAAAATCAGGGAGAGGTAAAGAAAAGAGATCTGAAAGAAATGGGTGAAAACCATCCAAGCAGCAGTCAGGGAACGTTTCAGACTGCGTCTTTTCTGTGCTCCGGTTTCAGCTTGAGGTCACCAATGCCCCTTTTGTCACATCAGGCACCTGCCACGCCCTGTGGCCAGGAGGGCCAAGCCTATCTGTCAGTCCACATGGCTGTTTGTTTGGAAAAACCAAAGCCAGTGCCGCTCCTACAGACTTTAGAGAGGTGAAAACTGCATTATAGTAAAAGCCAAGAACTCCCTGGGATCGATTCGAAGCTCCATGTCTGAGACACCAGCTCCTGCCTTAACTAATCCTGCTCTGCCCCTAATTGCAGTGGGTCCTGGGGCGTGGGGGATGACACAGAATCTGTCCATCTATCTATCGTGCAAACACAAGATTAAACAAGCAGCGAGGCTGTGCCCGGGTGGCCTTCCTGTGGCCTGTGTAAGAGTGGGTGGGAGGGAGAGCCTGCGAATTGTTGGCATTCCTTGGGGCCGCATGCCATGCCTCAGGTTCTTCCTCCCTTGCAGCTTATAAAGCAGAAGTTCTTCCCTAGTCAGGTTGACCAATGAGGTCAGTCGCAGTCACTGAGCCCTAAACTTGTCACAACCAGAACTGTTAGCATCTGACGTTAAAACAGCAGGGTGGCCGTCATTCACAGCTTGGGTCTCCCTGTATCCTTACCCCAGCTTGCCCATAGTGCCCTGTGCATCTGCTTGACTGTTCTAGAAGAGGAGGGCCAGGGTGGCTTCTGGGCAGGGCTGCCAGGCTTTTCACCAGTGCCCAGGTTAGGACTTTCGCTCTCTACATTTGTAAGAGATTTCCGGTGGAGGGTCCCCAGACAGCTAACCAAGAAGACCAAGAGGAGTTATCCATCCGTCCCTGGACAAAGTGAAAAGTTGGCTTTCCACCCACAAGCCTCTTCCATCCCTGCAGAACCTTAAGGCTGGGCGGACCTGATGGCCACGTATGCAGAGGGGGTGGGGAGGTCCTTGAAAGTTCTAGGTCCCTGAGGAATTACTCTCTTGGGCAATGACACTCAGTGGCACAGTTGGCCTCAGACTGGACATAGGGCAAACCTGGGGTGCAGACTGATCACATGCTGGGGGTCCCCGCTGTGTGAGTTTGTAACACAGGCGACGAATAAATGTTGCAGATCACCGGCCCATTGACAGCAAAACTACAGAACGCGTCGATGATGCTGCATGAGCCCGCGAAACTACCAAACGCTGTTTAGACAAACCTCTTACGAACAGCTTGTTTTGATCGGAGAAATAAACATGACCGAGCTGAGATGTCAGATGCTGAAATGTGCCTTTTCTCTCAACCTCGTATCAAGCACAGCCACCTCACCCCATCCGCCAAGAAAAAAAAAGAGTAGCAGAGGCAATACCAGTGCTACTTCTCACCACCACCAACCTACCTGGGGTCCCCGGTGGGTAAGGAAGGCGACACCAATCACTGCGTTCTCAGCCTTGTCTCCGAGGCCACCCACAAAGGCAATGACACATTTGCAATTGGCACTGTTATTTTATTAGTACGAGTATACTGAAACAATAAACTTGTACTGGTATACAGACAATTTATTTAAAACAATTTTGTTCAAATTTTGAATCAAACATTGTTTTATTATAATAATGAAATAATTTCTACCTAGAAAACCTGCAAGCACCATCAAAGGAAGGGACCATAAAATTCAATAAACAGACTCGAGTGTATCCTACAAATAGACACACCACGATTAGAAAATAGAATATGAATTCTTTCATTTTTTTTTTAATATTTGTTTTAAAAAAGCTAGTGCAAGTACAATATTTTACACTGGAATTACAGAGAGTATGCACGCATATGGAAAAAAGTTCTCCTGTCACAATAAAAGCTCTTAACTATGTATGCACTTAAAATTTTCTTTTCAATAAGGTGCAAAACATCATTCCTTCCCTCGTTCTCCTCTGTACTGGCCATGTCAGTCTGATAGTGCCCTCAAAGTTCTGGTGTCTCTTTTCCCCCTGGCTGATGGGAGGCATAGGATCGAAGTTTGGAGGATAATGACCCAATAGTACGAATCTCAGAGATGGCTCTGGGGCCGGGACCCCACTGGCTAGAAATCAGGACGATCTCAACCCAAAGCCACCAGGAATACCGCCACCAGGGCTCTTGAAAGTGCCTTACAGCTGACAATTTGGGTTTACAGGTGAGTGGTGATGGCTTGGAGAGGATGAAACATCTCCCAAAGACCCAAGAGGCAGTATTTACAGAACCCAACGAATGCCCAGGCATCAAGTGTAGGATTCACTGACTAAAGATCGTACCCCAGTCCTGCCCTGGAGTCTGGTTCTTGTATGAACCAGATGAAGCTGATACAGCCCATTTGGTGACTGCTCTTTAAAGACAACAGCCTTCAGCTTGTGTAGCCTCGGTTATTCTATTCGGAGGGCAGTGTGTTATCTCGGCAAGGGTTACTGTAAACAACACTTCCAGAGAAGGCCTTCAGACTGGCCATGGAAAAGGAGACAGGCTCATCCAGACAGCAAACCAACCAAGCAAAGGGTAAGAAAACTTGGGTGAAGTCTCCAATTATCTGCAGTGGAAGACTTGAGTCCTTTCAGATAAGAAAAGTTACGGAAATGCTCAGAGACTGTTATTGTATAGACACTACCTATTGGCCAAATGCACTTAATTTTAATACAGCTGAACCATTTGTATGCAAGTCGTGAGGACATGAGAGACGAAAGCCGCTGTTCCCTCCTGCCATGGTACAGGTGAGTGTTAGCTACCAGAAAAATTGCATTCAACAGTGAGGGAGGGGCCGAGATTCTGAATTTAGGAACTGTTGCTGTGGGTGGGTTGACTCTACAATCCCACAGCTCTCCAGTTTCCGTTGGCTGGCTTAATTTTTGGACAGAATATGACTTCTGAGAAGTTGCTCCATATTGATTCTGGCCTCTTACTATTACAGAGAAACAAACTCAAATGAGGCCTTTCCGTTAAGATACATGTTTTATCCCCCATGAAAATGAGGTGTGGGGGAAAGAAGGCTGAACTTTGTTTTGTCCTCATCATGAGTACTGTCTTATGGGTAGCTAGGATCCCTTGTTACAAACACTTCTTGTTCATGATTATATTCTTTGGGTTTAGTGGAACAGGAAGTGCTGACAATGTCAAACCTCATCTCTGAAGAAAAAGGAGTTGCAATGGCTTAAGAGTTTCAACTAAGAAGGGAGCTCAGAGAAGTATTTTCAATATAGGAATGAACAGTATTCTCAAATTGCAGAATACAGAAGAGGGCTCTGTGTAACTAAACATAAAGTAAGCATAGATATAGTTTAAGAGCCTTTTACGTAGTAATTCTTTCAGGCCATAACCATACAAATCTGATCATTTAGACATGACAAATTTCTATATACAAAAAAAAAAAAAAAACAAAAAACAGGTAACTTTCAACCTTTATGCTTTTTTCTTTTCTTTTTTTACAAACAAGGTATGAAACTCATGGTTTCAACAGATCCATATCTTTCAAACACTGAATGAATCATTTCAACATTCATTTTTCTTTTGTGCAATTTTTTAAAACATTACCTGTACTCCTGAAAGTGAGTGCTTCAAAAAGTTTGTTTCCTTGAGCTTCACAACTGTGGTGTACAAAAAAAAAAAAAAAAAACTCCCACAAGGTATAGTGCTACAAGGAGAGATCCTATCAGTAAGGTAACATATTTGAAGCGAGGTCATCTATGTAAAAGAAATCTCAGCTCCGGAGTAGAGGTGTGCAAATTGTTTGGAGTTTCCCTATTGACAGAAACACAACATTGTCCGCGAAAAAGAGAGGAAACCAACCCAACACAATAGCATATGCATGTGCTTTATAAAAAAGTATATTCTCTGTATTTATGACTTGATGTGTTCTTAAATCCTCTATTTCAGAAATTCTGGGTTGCAAACACACAGGTGGAAAGCAAAGGCCTCCCTTGGGAAAAAAAAAACAAAAAAGTGTAATTTTCCCTTCCTTTTCGCACCACCACGGCAGCTGGTGGGGCCCTGGAGACCGCTGGCCCCATCTTCACCTGGAATCTTCGTGGGTGATTAGGAAACAGGAAGTGCAAAGGGTTTTAGGAGAGAAGAACCAGTTCCTTGAGCTGCTTTCGATTCATGAAACCGTAGTCATGACAACCAGCACAGCTCAAAAAGCCTGGCCTTCTGTCCCAAGAGCTCTGCTTGTTCACCCATGTCTGAAACAGCATGGCGTTAGTGTCTTCAAAAGCATTTGAGACGTTTCTCTTTATGAAAGAAAAGAGGTTTCCTTAGTAGTCACAGATGTTAGAGGGTATTGTCAATTGTCTCCTTAAAAAACAAAATAAAAAATTCCAAAGCTACGACAACAAAAATAAATTTTGGCAACATATTCAGTAAAGATCAAACTATGTGCAAAGAGTGGACTTTATGATTACTAGGAGCTACTGTTCATCGTGAACATGCAGCATTATATTGCAATCTATGCAGTTTCTAAGGAGTAATCCACAAGATGCAGGAAATCCAAACATTCCTTGAAGTTGTACAACCCTACCCCAGAGCAGTCAAAGTGCTGCTTCCGGGCACATCAGTGTGCCACACACACGCCAGCCCTGTCCCTGAGTAAGAGGTGTGAAAGGTTCCGCAGAGTTCCTCGTGGGGGAGAAGGAGATGCCGCCACTTCCTGGTGGGGGGAAAACCCAACACACTCGCCTAACAAACATACCGGGTCCCCATTCGCTTAGAAATGGGATCCACCCCGATAAAGAAAAAAAAAAAATTCAAATCATCCCAAACCGAACTGGGTGAGTTGGGGGAAAACCAAAACTTGGCCGACATAGAAAATCATCCTGAAGGTCCAAATGAAAACGCAATTTGGATTTCCACTTGAAAAGATTTGAGGTAAGTGGCATCCGTGTCTGTATCCCCCTCCCCCCCACCCCCATCCCCATGTGGACCAGACAAACTGAAAGAATTCTCACGTTAAACATTCTAAGGAACAGTCATTTTATATATTTAGAAATCCCTACAAAGAGAGGTTCTTGTTTGTTGGTTTCTTCTTTTTTTCTTTTCGCCCTGACTAATTTCTTGGTGATTGTGTTCCATTGTAAACGCAAAAGGCCTGCTGTTATTTGTTTTAAAAATGGAAAACAGGAGAGAAAGAAGAACTAAAGACAGCTGTCAGTAAATATTGCAAAGTGGACACGGTACAGAGGCACATAGCTGATCCTCGTAAGCTGCACGGCACCGAAGAATTTCTACGCCTGTCACTGTTAAGTTCGCTACACAGGAGCGGTGCAAGAGGCTGTTCTGGGAGTCTCGGGCTCGCCAAGGGCTGCAAAGAAAAGGAGGCTCCCTGTCCTCTAGTTGTTCCTATTTGGAGAGAGAGCTGCCACAGAGGAGAGGTGACACTTTTCCCAGGTGGCTCCCTCCACAGCCACAGGTCGGCGCGCAGAGGCACGACTTGGAAGTCTCCAGGACACAGACCTCTGGGCAGGGCCTGCCCCATCGCAGAGAGGAGGTGGAAAGTGGGTTGATCTTGGCTACACTGCTCCCGAGTGCGCCTTAGACATGACTCTGCCTCCTTCCTCTCCACACTCACATTCACTATTCCTCGTGGTGACCGGGGAACCGCAGCTCTTCCCCCCCGGATCTCCTTCGCTTGCTTTCTGCAACATGGTGACAGACAGACACGCTCCTCAAGGCTCCCAGCCCCAGCACTCAGCATCCGAAGCAGGAGGCAATTCCCTTCCTGGGTTCCTTCCCTCCAGCCCTTCTCTGGCCAGAATGGGGAGGATGAATCGTACAGGAAAAAGCCGAAAGGGTATGAGTTTTAACTAGAGCAGACTGTCAGACTATTGGCACAGAAAGTATTGCACATGCTAAAAAAAAAAAGCAAGAGAATGAAATGCAACAATACTTAGAAAGGACCGATTATTTTATAATTCCTATACCTGATATAGATAGAAGCACAAAAATTAGGATGATGTTCCTATTGCTCCAAACCATGTATGTTTTCCCATTTTAGTGTTGGTTTTGTGGATCCAAGTAAGCCAAAAGGTGATGTGTGTTTTTCAGAGTCCACGAGTTGCTATAAATAGTGGTATGAATGAGGACAAAGTCTGTATGGCAGCCCCGTGTTCCTCTTACTATCAAAGGTTACAAAACAGAAAGAAAAACAAAACCTAATAACTGCAAGTGCCCTGAGCAGAATATATGGAAGATTAAGCAAGTTCTTTGAACAGAAAGATTTAAAAAAAAAACAAAAAAAAACAAAAAACCAGCACTAAATAAGCACTATGACTCCAAGAACGGGCCACCCAGCTTCACTAGCCTGCTGAGAGGGTAATGAAATCTGAAGAAAGTCAAGAATTGGCTCTAACTATTCTAAATCTACTCAAATGTTGTTGGTACACCCCAGAAAATGGTTAATAAAAATCTTAAGTTCTGGTGAGAACCAAATGCAAAGGAATACTAAATGGGTAAGTGATGTTTTAGATTTTTTTTTCAATTTGTGAATGGAAGAAATGCTTTCTTCAATGGTAAAAGGGAAATTAGATCAGCATCGGTTCTGATTAGTTGCAGCCATTCCAAGTAACAATATTTAAAAATTTCTCCCTAGTTATAAAACTTTTTTTTTTAAAGTGCTTTAAGATGCAGACTCAAAATTCACAAATACTATTTCAGATCTCTGGGAATGAAAGCTTTAAACTATGAAATACCCTTTCTGGGTTTGTACCAAACATGAAATCTTGATTTGACTTCAGATGAAAAAAAAATTCATTCTGAAAATAACATTAATAACGACAATAATAAAGTAATTATTAAAAAAAACTTGCTCACATATATAAATGTCTTTTTGGAAAACTCTCTCAATGAATCTGAAGAAAATTCTCAGAGTTGTCCTGCTAAGACCTGGCTTTGTGACAGATGTAGTAGAAAGACCAAAATGAATTTTGAAAGGAACATAACCTTATAAAATGGCCTAGAGTTTAGGCAGGTTAGAAAGTAATTTTGCTACATTTATTTATGCTCGTTCAGTCCCCCAAACCTTTCCCACAATGTTATTGGATAAAAACTGCAGGAATATCACACAAATTATAAACTCAAGATGTGCAAATCGCAAGATTCTTTAAAAGTTCATCTTAAAAAGAAAAACACTGGACAAAAATGAGTATTTCCATCCCTTTTCTCTGTTTCTCTGTGAGCTCTGCCTTTAATTCTCTCAGACATCAAAGTGAAAAGCGCCCCCTTCAGGCTGTTGTTGGTCGTCATTCCTGGTCACATACTAGTTCATAATTCACATTCATCCCTTTAAACCACATCGAAACTTTCAATATCTTGCTCGTGAGAAACTCTGCAGAGCTGAAATGTAGTTACAGTGTTGAAAAAAAGAAAGCAACTTAGTTTTTGTTTGTTTGTTTGTTTTTCTTCCCAAAGAGTTTAAAGTGAGATACAGTACTTGTTGAATGATAGACCAAGATGCTTGGTAATAAAGTGTGAACAGCATTGTAAGTGCTTAGAGATAGATGCTCATCTTCAAAATCTCATTCCTCACATCATCACACTGGAATCTGAAAAAAGTGGCACCCGAGTTGTTCATAGTCATGAACTATAAACAGTACTAGAGTTAAAAGACGAAAGATTTGCAAACCCAATGCGAAGACCTTCCACGGCTCTCACTGAAGGGCAGTTTACCTCTTGGGAGCGAAGTCAATGCGATTAACCTGATTGGTTTTCCTAACACTGCACAGAAATCAGAGTGGGGGTTCCCCTCCGGCACCCACTCCCTACCCCCCGCCCCCCTGGGGAGCGATGCCTGCAGGGGCTGCCCCGCCCACACGACACCCTGGAGACTTCACTGCACTCAAAAAGCAGAAACGAAATCCCACGTGTGGCAGTTGCTCTTTAAAAAAAATATCAGTGCAGTCAGGCCCCATAGGGGGAAATATATATCTATAGGATTAAAAGTTGCTTTTATTGTAAAATATGCTGAAGGGGGGAAATGTTTTACACGGTTAGCTTTCCACCCGCTGTCTGATGCCTCTCTCTCTAGGATGTCCAGACGCGGGGTTCCTGATGTTTATTTTGCACGTGAGGACCTCCAGGGGACACCCCGTGCTGAGAACAAGAGAGGGAGACAGGGAGGCAGAGAGAAAGAGACCCTCGCTGGCTGCACGCACGCACGCACGCAGGCACGCACGCACGCTCGCCCTGCAGTTCCCTTCTCCGAGCACTGGAAACCAGCGCAGTCAAGCCCGGGGATGTTGCGGTGCAGCCGGCAAGGCCCGCGCGGGGCGCCGAGCCATAGCTCCCGGGAAGCCTGCTAGGCCCGCCCGCTCCCGCTCCCGCTCCAGCTCCCTGGCAGACACGTGGGAAGAGCATATGCACCAGTCTCCTGCGCAACACCAGCTGCAACGCTAATGACAAGGTTATAACAGAAATCTAAAGGAAGAGGATAACATGTAAATACTGTGTTATTTAGCCTACAGTACAGTAATCTTGATACAAATGATAAGGGAGAGCCACATTTCCTTTTCCCAAGCGCGGCCTCTACTTGCCCACGTTAGACCGGCCTTCAATGCAAATCTTAACCTCCTGAGGAATTAGAGAAGGCTTAGGAAGAGTCAGAGGTGGCTCGTCTTCTGACTTCTCCAGTTTGCGGGTCTCCGGCGCCGACCACCTCCTCTTCCTCGTGGCTGCGGGCTTGCTGGGTTCTATTTTGGTGAGCAAGGGCGCTGCAGGCAATCCTATTTTTTCTGGAAACTTCAGTTCTCCGTTCTCAGAGAGCATCTGGGCACTTCCCTGATTAATTCCGTTTTCCTGCTCTGCATATCTGTGTCTACTGCCTGCGAGGCTGTCGGTCTTTGAGTGCTTCAGCAGGACGCTGGCGGGATCCGCGGGCTGGCCCTTTTTAACAGAGCCGTTCTTCAGGTTCTTGAGGGTAAGCGAGATGCAGACATCCCCAACGGAGAGTTTGGAACACGGCAAATCAAAGAGTTGGCTGGTTCTCTCTGGACAGCAGGATGACCAGCCCTGTCCAAACACAAAAAAAGGATACTCTACCAAAACTTCAACGCTGACCTGCGGAAACAACGAGAGACAGAGAGAGGGGAAAGGAGGGAGACAAATGAAAACACTGCGTTCTTGTTTTATTCTATAGACAGGTAAAATGAATGAGGAAATAAAAAAGAAGACTTCTACAAACCTTCATCCACACATACAAATGAAGGTCTAAGTTTGAGCTGTACCTCGACTTACCTTAATAGGTGTTGGGTAGAAGCCATGACTCCAGCGCAAAAGTCCAATCAGTAACTTAAAATCTCACTTTATAACAGGTCTCCATTAAAACAAGTCAATTGACCTCCTCCTCGCCTACCCCCAAGGATGGCAGAACATGTCCTCAAAGTTCAGCAATGAGCTATGTATGTTGTGTCCTTGTCTCAGAAACCCAAATTATGATCTTCTGCTTTATTAGTTCACAAGTGTTCTTCTAATGTATGACAGGCGATATATGGGTCGGAGTTCATCTGCACATTCCATGAAACAGGCATTTATGGTTTTATCATAACCCCTGTGCTCTAAAAGGGCACCAGGTGCATGTCTGGAGGTTAATAAATATTTACTGTGTACTCACATTCATTTAAGGGGATGGGAATCAGAACTAAAGTAACTAAGGAAGGCTTTTCCCAGAAGGCCAAAGGAAGGGTAGGATTTGAAAAATGAGGGGAGGATAATTTTGGGGTGACGGTGAAATGGGTACAGACAGCTCAAGTACTTGGTCCATCAATATGGACACAATTTTTCAAAACTTAAAGGATACAGCAAAAGGAGTACTAAGAGGGAAATGTATAGCAATACACGTCATATCAAGAAACAAGAAAGAGCTCAAAGGACCTTCTCTTTTATCAGGAGGAATTAGAAGATCAAGCAAGTCCAGAAGTCAGTAATAATAAAAATTAAAGCAGATATAAATTAAATAGAAAGAAAACACAGGCTAATAAACCAAAAGCTGATTTTTTTTAAAAAACTGATTCTTTAAAAAAAAATCTAAGAGCTAAACCTCTAACAAGGCTCACTAAGAAAATGAGGGAAATATCTCAAATAAATGGAATAAAAAATAAAAGAGAAATTACAACTAATGCTGCAGTAATTCAGAGGATAATTAGAGACTATCATGAACATTTATATCCTGACAAATTCAAATACCTAAATGAGATGGACAAATTCTTAGAACTGTACAATCATCTAAGAGTGAATACAAAAGAAATAGAAATCCTGATAACCCATCACAAACAAGGAAATTGAAACAGTTATCAAAACTCTCAGAAAACAAAAGTCCAGGACCAGATATCTTCACAAGTGAATTCTGTAAGACTTTCAAAGATGAACTAATACCTACCTTGCTCAAATTCTTCCATAAAATGTGTTCTACACATTTTATGTGGTTAAGACTTAAGAATAATGAAAGTAGTAGCTGTGGGGGTAAATTAAAGTAATATTATATGCAATAATTAAGATGTTTGTTGAATTTATTTGTAAACATGTACACTTCTACCCACAAACACAAAATCAAATTATAAGTACGTAAAGTAGTATATTTCCATGTAATTTACATAGATGTAGCTTTTCTATTGAACTTATTTCATCTATTTTGAAAGGCATGATTGATCGAGCTTGTATTGAGAAGAAACAACTATGGTGAATGTATAGGAAAGTCTGTTTTTAGAGAGTGTGTATGTGTGTGTGTGTGTGAGAGCCTGAGCCCATATAAATATGTATATTACCTGGTGAGAATTCATGATTCTGAGCTAATTTAATAATATAAATAGAGGTAACTTTTTTTTTTTGAGGGCCTACTATCAATGAAACACTCAGTTACAAATTTCACAAAAATATTTGATTTAATGCTCATAATGTATTTATGAAAAAGTACGGTTGTTCTAGTTTTACAACTTAGGAACTACAGTCTGAGAAGGATGAAATCACCTGCCTAATATCATAGCTATATGCTGATAACAATGGGATTCAGTCTCAGTCTATTTAGCCTCAACTCCCATTTTCTTTTTCCTATGCCACTGAATTGACCCTTTGGAGAAAAATAATACCATCCAAAAAGATGAATTTAAAATTCTCACTCCCCCCTCCACTAGTGGTAAATGTTACCCTGAAATATACAGGATCCAATCACATGAGCTATAGATTGTTCCATGGAATGGAAATGGTGAAGGAAATCTGCCTATCTTCTTGTGCAATTTTAGTCTCCTTGACAAGTGTGTGAAGAGTCTGATATTCAATATTCAGAACTACATTTATCTATACACACTTATATGTTTGCATATACATATGTATCCGTATATATAGAAGTGGCAATATCAGATGGGGATGCCCACTGAGCTCTAAGTGGGAGGGCCAAATCTGGAACTGGCTCCATAAATCCTATTCCAAACCTCTCAGAATAATTAACATCATCCACTGAGCAGAAGGAACAAATCCCACTTCAACAGGGATTGTTTAGCTGCACTTCTAAAAATTGACAAAGTTCTCAAGAGTAACAATCTCAAAAGATTCTCTACCAGACTCGCTGTTTGCTTATCCCTGCTTAACATCAGACAGAGATCAGGACATTTTTTTTTTTTTGAACTCACTGTTCTCTTTTGGCTTTCCATGGTTCTAGCTGTTTCCCTGCTCTTGGGCAATCTGTCTCCTTGCTGGCAGACAGCTCAGCACCTACCGTGCACAGGATCTTGGTATGTAAGCCATCTTTTCATATACCCCTTAGAGCAGCCAATCTTCCACGTTCTGAAATTAACATCTACTGCACATTCCTAGACAAACCTGAAGACTTCCACATGTTGACAATGTCTGTGGAATCATTAAGAAGAAATGGGTCAAGGCCTTTATAATATGTCACTGAGTCATTATCTCAGAAGCTATAATGTAGGTGTCTATGCTTATGTTATGCACATCATGTTTTCGGACATTTTGAGAGTCTTTCATTCCTCCCTCATTTCCAAAATCCAAAATCCAAATTCTTAGGCTGAATGTGGTTTATCACTTGAACAGCCTATCTAAAAAAATCATGAAAGGAAAGTGATGAAGGGAGGGAGAGAGAAGAATATTTGAGATGTGCACTAAAAAGTGCTGATGCAATGATTTATTCTTTTGAATCAAATGTTATTAAATTAGCATTTAAAAAGGTACTATTTCAGGAATATAGCTTCACACCTCAATATGTGTGCCGGCTTCATACACCAAAGCTCCAGAGCCAATACTTGATCATAGTTATCCCCTCGACCCCATAACCACCATGTTTTCACAGCATCTGAGGTTTTTCACTTTGTGCTTTTTCAGTTTGTTTTTGTTTTCAGTCATTTATATTCCACAAACCATTAGGTAATTGTCTTTCACTGTTTAACCGTTTCACTTGGCATAATTGTCTTGCATTTCATCCATATTATCTCAAAAGGTACAATTTTATCCTTTTAAATGGCTGAGTAGTATCCCATTGACTATACATTCCATAATTTCTTTATAAAGGAATTTAATTTAACCTGGATAGATTTGGGAAAATCATCTCTACCACTTCAGATGTTTTGTTTGGTCCCTTCCTCCCTAAATTCTGCCTTTGTCTCCTTCTGTGGAAGAACTGTCATCCTAGGGAAAGATGCCACACCATGTGTTCTCAGCTGAATCTACACAAGTGAGGAGATCATTCAATCTGATCACTGCAGACTCCTGTCAAATACTGCTTTTCTCTACGTTAGTTATTTATCCTCACTCATTATTCATCCTCACTAATGTTTTTCTCCTATCTAGCTTGAATGATCTAGATAATACATATTTTAAAACATTTTTTATCTGTATTATATGTGAAAATAAGTCCCCCTTTTATTTGATGAAAGGTAAATTCTCGTGCATGCCTCAAATAAACACACTAAGGTAATCATAACAAATCTATTTTTGTTTCATAATTGAGTTTTCCAAAAGGGTATAAACATTCTTAAAGGTTAACTGATCATTAAACTGGTTGATGAAAAAATCCTACTGAGGGGTTTCTCAATGAGAATATACAGTTAGGTCTGTCTGCTTAAAATTCCCTAGGAGAGGAGTATTATCTCCCTCAAAACAGGCTGTCCATGGCAATGTCAGTACTGTTTTGGACATGAAACAGAGGTAGGATTTGGTGACAGGCTGTTAAAAATAAGTCCATGAGTCTTTGAACTTGAGGCTCATATGGGTCTTTTCTCTGGTGCTGAGAACTTCCAAGTATCCTTAAATGTTTCAGCTTTAATTGAGGTTAATAGCACCAAGCATCACCAACTGGTGGGGGCTGTGGGAGACCTACTGTTTAAGACGCAGTTTGTGCTGCAGTGAGGAACAGGACATGCACAGGGCACAGGCACCTTCATCAGGGCCTTTGGAAATGGGCAACATATTCTGATGATGTCCTGGTGGACGCAAACTGATGGCGTGTCCAAAGTAATTTCCAGAACTCTACCTCATCCTCCTGCTCCGTGGCTCTCCTGTGATCCCCATGAATGAGATCCCCGTGCCTTCCAGTTGTTGACATCAAGGGCCTGGGAATCGTACTTCCTCACAGCACCTTCTCTCATTCTGTATCCATACAAATCACAAGTCAGTCCTAACCTCTCTTCTAAGCAGATCTCAAATGAGAGCACTTCTCTTTAACTCTACTGTCCGTGTCCTGGTAAAGCCCCATCTCCTGGGAGGAACAAAACAGTTACCAGTAAGCATCCCACCCACTCTCACTGCACTCCTCAATGATGCGTTAACTCTCAAGGACACATGCATTTCTTGGTCTGGTTTCCACTCCGGAGTCCTTTTTGACGTGTGTACCAAATGCCTTCAACTGGCTCGTCTTCTCAGAGAGTAAGCTTCACTAACCTCTTTATTTAAAAATCAGCCCTCCAGTTTCTCAAACTGCTAAAAATGGAGCTTCCATATGACCCAGCAATCCCACTACTGCTGCATCTTCAAAAGATACAAAAAACACTGATTGAAAAAGATACTTGTACCCCCATGTTTACTGCTGCTTTATTTACAATTGGAAAGACATGGAA